AGGAGATGATTAGATTAAGAAAGGATATCACTTAGACGAAGAGTAAGTGAATATGAAGTAACTGAATACATTAATTATATTATACGACCTCTCGCAGGAACATTCATTGGCACGCGAGTGACGCTGTTTTGAGGAAGGAAATAATTAAGTGTAGTAACAAGAATAAATGAAGTGAGTGAATCAACAACACCAACAATACCATCAATATGTATACGCATAGGCATTACTACTCAGAGTCGGTAGTCTTATTACTATATTATAGAAACTTAAATTACACATTTAACACAACATATTCAACGCAAAGCTATTGCCAATATCATCCTCGTCTTTATTACTGCAACAAATGCTGATCGTGTGCTCTATTCCAATTGCACCTCACAGTACATAACTTCAGCTCCAGCCAAACACTATTACTCATCACAACACTTGCTTAAAATATCAAATATTCATCATAATCCTCTCCTATATACTCACTACTTGAATCTACTATTACAGGGATCAAGCAACCTGACCGGTTCCTATTTTACTGACAATGAGTGCTGCTCATAAATCACATTAGTGTTACGCGTCAACCAAACATCTCGTAAAATTAGGGTGTTTGATGAATGTAAGAAACGGATAAAATCTGGTACCATGTCAGACTGCCCTAAACGAATCAACCTATCAAATTTGCTTGCAACTTTAAGATCGGATCCTGTTTGTTTACTTCAATTAGGCAGAAATCATCGTTGTTCATATTTATCAAAGCAACATCTACCAAGGAGCATGGATAAAAGAGAACTGGTGATGGAATGTGTGCAGTGAAGTGAAGAGTGATGAAATAAGGTAACTGGGCAAAAATTTTGTGATGTAAGCCTACTAGTGGAAGTTATTTTCAACTGATATTCACCAGTACCTTTTCGAATTTATCACTTCATTAATGTGATGATGGATCAAGATATTTAGTAACCAATTGCAGAGTCCCATGAGGGTGATCGTTCCTCGTTTAATGCCGTCAAAATTGTACGCATTCATCAACGAATGTCACATTTTGAAGCACTACTGAATCTTAACTTGACAAAATCACAAAGCATATGACACATGAAAGCACGTATTCATTATCACGGCTTATTCGCATCTTACACTCATTTCGTCCGAATCAAACGAAAAGTATAAATCGACGACGATGGGCCGAAAAATGGGCACATGTTTACTTTGAGGGGAAGGCAACTCGCACTTATTAAGAAACATGCGCTTCATAGTCCGCGTTTTCGTTGAAATATTATATTCCTGTGCGGTATTCACCTTATTGACTTGTCCAACGGAAATTATTGTTCATTCAGTAGGGACTGTGCATTTGCCGGTGACGAGCCATCAGGTGGTACCAAGATTTGTCTGACCGGACTAAAGCCCTGCAAATTTTTGGTCCGACATGTGCTCTCCCCATCAAAGTATGTAGTATGCAAAAATCAAAAATTCCAAAGCACTGAGTGTGGATTTATAAAACCATAAAATAAATATTTACTCATAGAAGACCAGTTACCATCGTAATTCGGCAGATTAACAAATGAAAGATTTATCTTTGGTGAGGATATGCGGTTTAAATCATGATCAACTTATAATATAATTTCAAATAGACATTTTTCAATGGTAAGATTTCGTTCAAAAATGATAAAAATAGAAACATTCGTGAACTTCAACAAAGTTCTTGATTAAATGTGATTGAAACGCCATAGATAAAAATAAATCATTTTTGTGAGCTACCATAATTTTGTTAGTTACCATAATAAACCATCATCATTTTTGTTAGATAAATTCATTTGAATGAGATTCATATTTTCTCATCATTGAGTGAAAAACAACTTACGATTAATCTACCAAAGCACTGAATAAACGGAAAACTCCAGTTGAAAATAGCGAAAATTCACCAATAAATACAACATAAAATTTAAAAAATGTGCATTGCACAACATTATGTGATAAAATCGGCGTCGTCGCACTTCGCCATACAAACGTGTCCGAGCGCAGGGGCGGAGTCAGCGAAGAGCATGCGCAATCATAGGTCAACGTGTGACTGAGCGCCGCAATGAGCAAAATTTATACCGATGGTATATCGGAAAAGGACCGCTTTGAGGAGTGATTCATTGCATTTTGACTAAAGAAATTGTGACCATTTTGTAGAAAATAAAATTCTCTATCATACAAACGTTTTCTTTTCCAAAAACTATCCGTTATATAAAAACTTGAGCGGTCTGAAAGTGGAAAATTTGCATTTGAATACGGAAAG